GCGAATAATGAAGTTGTCATCACTGCACCACCGGCCGACATGCAAGCCGATAGTCTTGAGCCAAAGCCCGGATTTGTTTCGCGAATATTTAGGGATGTTGGTAGGCGGTCGATACCTTAGGGGAACGCAGCGTTGAGGATGTGTCGGGCGAAGGCTCGAGGACTGGCGGCAGGCCGACTGGGCTTCGGTCCTCGTTCTTTGTCGTAGCACTCACCATGTCGAGGATGATAGCCGCGGCGTGCTGCTTCTCCATTGTCGCCATGGGCACATCTCCGAGCGTCGATGATGTTGCGTACATCACGGCCATGGCCGAGGCGTTGATGTACTGGGACGACGGAGGGCTGCCCGCCGGCTGGTGGTGTTTGGTGTACGGATGCGTCCTTGGTGGGACGCACCGAGGGCGCGCGCTGGCTGGTGTCGGGTTCGCGTTGTCGAGACAACGAACTTTCCACCTGCTGCGCTACTGCTCGCTCGAGCAACGTGCGAATCTCCCGGCGAGCGCGGCGATCCTCGGACGTTGCGGCCTCTGGAAGGCCATGCAGCATAGGCGGTTGCTGCGGCGATGTTCTAGCTGGCTCGGGCAAAGTGAGGAAGGGCCCCATCGTCGGTGAGGATCCTCTGATGTACGGTGCGGGCCGTGGTGCGCGCGCGCCCCCTGTATTTGCGGCGTTCAATCTCGTGATTGATGTCCGCGTATTCCCGGGCGAGCCCTTGCCCGGCCTCATCGATCTCTTGCCGATGGGCCCTCAGCTGCTCCATCCTTAGGCGAGATGGGGCTATCATCTCTTCCCCGGATCTGCTATCAGGGTTGTTTATAGGGGTGACCTCTTCCCTAGAGGCGCTTTCGACGTGACCTTCGGGGGTCTGCGTCATGAAGCACTCCCGGGAAGGGTGGTGGCTCCCCCTACTAGAATCCGAGCTAGAGGACGATCCCGGCTCCTCGTTGAGGAGCCCGTAAAGGGTCTCCGTATCATGTTCAATCGCCCCCATGAACTCGATGTCCGTGGGTGACTGAACCATCCGTAGCGCCAGGAGGTGGCTAGCGGTCGCCGCAGCATTGCGGAGGCTGAACGGAAACGCTGTCGGGGCGCTCCGTACGGGACCTTCTGGACATAGGGTGACGTTGTGCGAGACCTCCCTGGGTGACCGGACTCCCAGGGGGTTGCCCGGCGGGCCCTCAAGCCTAAGACGGCTGAGGTTGATGGAAGGGAGAGATGGGGCGGCCGAGTGAGTCAGCGCCAACTCTCCTTCTAGTGTGATGATGAAATCTAGGTCACCGAAACACACGTGTGCGCCCGGGACCCAGGTGATTGCATGGGTGGCCATTCGAGGCCTGATTTGGAACGCGCAAGCTCCCCTACCTGGCGCGCCAACTATCGGTGTTTCGTACAAGCACCGGCAAGTAAATTTATAGTAATGCGCGTTAGGCTCGGATGGTGCGCTAAAGGACACAAGATTTATACTGGTTCGGGCCGAAAGTCCCTACGTCCGCTTTGTTCTTTCGCCGTGTTATTAGCACCGTGAACGGTTTGTAGTAAGGGGTACAAACGATCGAGAGAGGGACTGGTCCCAAGTCTCTGATGGAAGGGTTGAAGGGATGTCAAGAGGTTCGACACAACTTGACTGTGTGTATCTGTGAGTCGTATCGTTTGATCTTTTTTCCCTCCCCTTTATGGAGGAAGCGCATCCCCTTTTATAGATGAAGGAGCTGGCTTTACAAGGGTGAGGGCTTTAGGATGCGTACTCTACTTAGTCTTGTGGCTCACGTCTACCCGGCCTTGGTTCTTCATTCTGATGAGTGTGAAGGAAGATAAGCGCCTACAATACTGTCGATGTCTCTGTAGAATGTCAGGTTGGTTACAGAATGCTACCCTGTGCAGGGTATGGGCCGCAGTACAGTGGTTTTGACTTTTGAGCCTCCCCACCTTTGCTCCGCACGCCTTCTGGTTCCTATGAGTTTTAAATCGAAGGGACGGGGTCGGGTCTGCAGGTAGCGCCGTGGCCAAGGTCTTCTGTCTTGGTGGACCTGAGGGGTCGGGAAGCGGGCGTCGCTCCCTTGGGTCCATAGCGTGGTGACGGAATATCCGTCGTTCGTGGAGATAGCAAATCCTTTTCTGGAGCGTAGCGGTTGTCGTATATCTTCGTCGGGTTCCATGTCCCAGAGCTGAAGGCGGCGCCTACAACTCTACAGGGTGGAGAGCACGCACCTGTAACACCTTTCGGGCTCTGCGGCGCCTGGAAGGCCTAAAGCACCCGTCTGTCATCCCCTCGGCAAAGATTTTTCCCCGCCAGGTGCGAGGTATGGTTCTTGGAGCCACGGTTGACCTGAACGTCTTGTCTTGCCCTGTCTCTATCATCTTGAGGGAACAGGGAAAAGTGGTCAGGTAAGATGAATCCAATCTTTAGATATGGAGCAGAGTGAGGCTTGTTCCTTGCCGTCGGGCGAAGCGGAGACCAATCCCTATCTCCTGAGCGAGACCGAACCTGCTCCTCCGGGGTAGGGCGAGGCGGAATCTATCCCTCAGCCCTCGGGCGAGACCGAGCCCGCCCTAAAGGCGTCGGGCGAGACGGAGACTAGTCCTGTGCCCTCGGACGAGGCAGAGCCACATCAAAGGCGTCAAGCGAGTCGGGGTTTATCCCTCGGCCTTCGGACGAGATCGAGCCCGTCCAAAAGGCGTCGGGCGAGACGGAGACTAATCCTCGGCCCTCGGGCGAGACCGAGCCCACCCTAAAGGCGTCGGGCGAGGTGGAACCAAGCTCCTGTCATTCCAGTGAGGGGTGAAGCAACGCTCTTATGCGTCCAGAAGTTTTTAACGTTCGGTGGTTATTGGTTCCACCTTCTGGGGTACCCCGGTATTAGGTCCCCGACATCTACGTAGCGAATATAAAGCGAAACCTGATTCCACCAAAAATTAAAATAAAATAAATTATAAAACAATAAAATACAAAAATGAGATCACTGCCGGTTAGCACAAAACCAGCAGTGATGGTAAAGAGGGCATTGCCGGTTCATGGCACGAGCCGGCAGTATTGGTTGAGCCATCACTGTCAGCTTGAAATCCAAACCGGCAGTGTTGCTAAAGACAACACTGTCGGTTTGAGCTACCAGCTGGCAGTGATGGCTCGACCAACACAGCCGGTTTGAGCCATGAACCGACAGTGATGGCTTGCTCAACATTACCAGCTTGAGACACAAGCCGACAGTGTAGGCTTGCTCAACACTGTCGGCTTGAGCCAAGAACCGACACTCTTGAAGCAAACATCATTGTCGGTTGGGTCTACAAACCGGCAGTGTTGTTCAACTGGACACTGCCAGGTGGAGCCAGGAACCGACACTGTTGCCTGTAGATCAGTGTCGGTTTTTAGGAACCGGCAATGATGTCAACCCCCATCTACCATTGTCGGTTCAAAATCCAGCAGTGAAGGGGGTTTTTAATAGAGATGTTAAGATCTGGGGTAGTGCCCCCGCCGCCCGGGGTCTCTTTGGCGGTGGAGAAGATGGCGATGGCGATGCCGGAAGGGGATGGGGGTAGGAGTAGGACAGCGAGCGGATCTGGCATGTTAGGGCACGGGGGACAATAATGATGCCGACGTTAGGAGCAAGGGAATAAAGATGGGAGAAAAAATAAAATGTATGTGGCTGACAAATGAGTCTAAAAATAGGGACTGTGATTTGGGAGCTCTCGTTGCTGAGCTTAAGAAATGGAACAACAAAAAATACAAGAAGCTATGGAATCAAAAGCATGAGGCAGCCCTGATCTAGGACGAGTTGTTATAATTGACGCACACTGGGGCGTGTATGGTTTGGAGATTGGTCTGCGGGAACTCGCCACGAAGGTTGATCCGGTCGCTAGCTAGGCATTGGAAATCGACAGCCTAGGAAGCATCCTGAGCCATGCACCTTCTTTCGCCAGGTTCATAACCAAACAGACCATGCAGGAAGCCAAAGCCTCGAGTCCATCAAATGCAGCATCTGGGATTACAGTACATCCATGCACGCACGCACATCGTCTGCCTGCCTGCCGGCCTATTTGCGCCCCTGACAAGATCGATCGATGCATGATGCCATGATGCATCTATCCATGACACATGACAGACCCAGACGATGTGCGTGCGTGCATGGATGTACTGTAATCCCAGATGCTGCATTTTCAGATACTCCTACCACTGGGGATCGATGAGATGCTGCGCGCCTCTCCTTCACTAGTTCCCTGCCCTACGTACGCCCGCCAGGCGCCGTCGCCGTCGCATCCAATTATTGGCGTGCGCACGCGCACACGCCCGTCGACAGACACGCACGTACGTAATGGCAGACGCCGCACCGAAAGCTAGCCGCCTCCCTTCTCGGTTCTCCCTCCACCTCCAGGCTTCGTACTACCAGTACATGCTGGCAGCGAGCACAGACACGCATGGTCAGATGAATGGATCCTACGCGTCCTTTTCCGTCCATCACTCTTCAGACGCTCACCGCTCCACCAGCCTGCTACTACGTACTAGTACATCGCCATGGATCGCAGTGAGCTTGATTCAGCTTCAGCCATGGATAATAATGGGTTATATACACACCCAGCTTTCCTTCACAGCAAGGTACGGCCGGCACCAGGCAGCAGCAGGCCATGCTGGGCCAGGGGGCCAGGGCCGAGGGCAATGACACCGGCTGGCTGTGTGCCACTTACAACGTCGCACATGACATGCCACAACGCCTGCCGGCCGGGCCGGCCAGCCCCAGCACGGGACGGGACGGGGGCAGGCATGGCGACGACGCGTCCCGTCCTGCCCGTACCGTTACACGAGGCGACGTTGACGTTGCATTACAACATGGGATCAGAGCTACAGCGCGCGGCCGCCCGGCCTTGCTCCCGACACGAGGAATTTTCCGCAGCGTCCGATCCATCAACTAACCTGCGCACGGCACCTAGCTAGGCAGCGGCAGGGAAGGCCGGCGCGGCGGCTAGCCTGCCTGCGTGCCTTCCCTGCTGGTGTGGTGTTTGCTAGGAATTTTATGGTCCTTGGCCTACTACGGCTATCGCAGCCACAGCGACGTCGTCCACGGTGACGATCTCGTCCAGGACTGGGGGCGCCGGCGCCATCAGCATGTTGCGCGAGCTCCCCGACCGCTCCTTGGGCGCCAGGCGGGTTACCTCGACCTCCCCACCGGAATCAGCGTCGGGGTCATCGCCGGTCTTCTTCGAGAAGGGTTTCTTCCCCCCTCGGCGAGCCAGCCATGGACACTCTCGTGCACGCCGGAGCCTAAACCATGCAGCTTGATCTCTCCGGTCATCTGGATCATCACAAATAGCGAGCCGATGCTCAAAATACTACTCCAGCTTATATATGATCAACATTAACGAAAATAACGAGGTTGTTGCCAATAGATTGATAGTGTATATCCTTGGAGCTTACATGGGCGACGATGGCGTATAGTGGCAGCGTGATATAGCTGCAGATGACTTCGATGATCACCCTGGAAAACACCACACAATTCACTTTCAGGAGTGATGCAACGATCTGATTGTTTGCTATCGATCTATTCAGTGATCCTGTGATCACACTAATCGAGAGATGTTCTCGTGCACTAATGATCCTTGTTCTAACAAGGAGACATGTCATCGACAGGACAATGTTCTAGATTTTTCGAGCAATCCAAACTTTCACTGACCCTATAACAAGTCTGGAAATGGCATAAGGCTTCCGTTCCATCATGCACGAACTGAACCCTTCTGATACCTATGAAGTGATCATTGTTAGCTCCAAGGTCCGATTGATGGAACATTAAGTGAGCAGTAGAGGACGTGATGCGCAATACCAGAACCCAGAAGAAAAACCCAATCTCGAACGAATTCTGGAACAGGATGAAATGGATCAAATGAAGGACAAGTTCAGACTTGTGAAACCAGAAATGGTCCTTGGATGGCTTTATTTTTGGAGCTTCCTCTGTATCATTTGATAATGCTGCTGCTGCCTCTTGAGCCAACCGAGTGATAATGTGCTCTAGTTTGGCACCAACAATAAGTAAGAGCTGCAATTTACCACTTTATTTAGGGATCGCTCTCATTCATTCAAATAAATAGTGTTTGTAGTCAAACTTCTTGGATATGACAGTTAAGAGTTCAAATATGAAAGGCCGAAGGCTCTCATTCAAATAAAGTGTTTGTAGTCAAACTTCTTGGATATGTCAGTTAGAGTTCAAATATGAAAGGCAGAATATCTGAATTCAATCAACACAAAGCAGAAGGAAATGTATCATACTTACAAATAGAGGCAAGAAAGCTAACCAGAAGTATGTGTGCCATCCTGCATTTTGACAGCAAAGCAACAGAAAAGGGGTAAATAGAATCACAGCAGATAGTTAGATGTGTATGATGCTCTGCAGATGTGAAAGCAATGATAATTCTATATGTTGATAGGCACAGACCAACTAATCCACCCCACTGACCGACCAATCAATCATCAAAATTACGCAAAACTATAGGAGTTGGCATATAAATTACAGAGTGCAAATAGAAGCCATAAGAATAGCTACTGATATAGTGAATGCTTCTGCTCTATGAATTTTAAGACGTGAAGAAAATTATAGGCTAGGTAGAATTACCATTTATATTCAGCAAAAGGAAGAAGATTACAAAAAGCCACAGATACCAGATGCATGCAGGTAACTCATGTAAGATCACTTATGTTTAAGGAAACATGGAACCTTTCTCTGAATACACCAACCTGATACCAACAACTCTTTTAAACTCATGTTCAACAGCGCGAATCATGTATTTGTGGAAATCAAAATCTGGTTTCTGGGGGTAGTGTATCTGAATGAAAAGAACAGATATATGCCCAATTAGCTTACAGATGCTCGAAAACTAATGAGCACAAATGAAACTAAAATGTATATCATACCACGACAAAAGCTGATCTAAGTGCTTCATAATCTGATTTACTCACTGAATCGTGAAATTGCTTCAAGAATGAAGTCTGCAACATGTTGAATAAAAAGTTTCTCCGTAAGTTGTACAAGAATGACACACTAATCGAAAACTGATCAACATCGATGCCCCAGAAACCCCCAAAACATAGAGCATAGTACCAAAAAACATACACGTACTGTGTGATTCGCCAAAAATGAACAAAAAAGCAAGCCTGTTCGGTTGGCTGGTTCGTATCGTTGCTGGTTCGTTTATGTGAGAGAGAAGTACTGATGGCTGGTTCAGGTGAACAGTACTCATGTGAGGGGGCTGGCCAGCCCCAGCCAGCCCAGCGATCATGCTGAAAACTTGTGATCTTGAGAACACAATCTTGCAGGAAGCAGCTCATCACAATAGACTAAAAAGGAATATTACACCAGGACACTGATTGATTGTAGAAATCGGAAACATGAGCAGTTTCAAATATAACATATACTTTTTGGGCCAAGTGTTTTTCGTAGCCAAAATCATAGAAGGAAATAGTCCTGTTTCTAGTGAAAAGGCACTATGCACAAATTGTTGGTTGGAAGTCCTAATGACTTATGTGTCCATGTTCTGTTATTTCAGTGCCCGTTAATAGAAGTTCACATTTCTGTCTTCAGTAAATCTGCATGTAATGCTAATGAATAGGCACGCATTGTAGTCAAAAGCAATATCCACACTGCATGCTTTGAGATAAACACTGAGCCCTTATGTTAGCAGATAGATTCTATTTAACTAGATTGAGCAATAAGATTGGTCAAGCAGATGACTTACTATCCAGCTTACAACAGCGAGCTTCATCCAAAATCCCTTTGCCCGCTCACGGACAAATTCATCTTGGTGGTCTCGATTTAGCACAACAATACTCGATGGTGTGCCTTTTCCTTCACTCTCTGCTTGCTGTACTGCAACCAATTTTCATCCATAGCAAAACAAAACAGTGAGCTAAGAATATAGAAGTGGTAATACTTCACCTAAAACCTGAAGACAAGAATATTTCTTTGACACAGAAATTTCTAGTAACAAGCAAGTCCAAATGAACATGACCATTTTATCAAGAGATGGAAAAATGATTGGCAGTTAGTCACTAATGCATCAATATCAATTGATCAATAAAAAACTTGGCACTTAATTGACACCTACTCATGAAATGACACTTGTTCTAAGATATCACTTGCTCATGCAACCTGGCTCCTTTTTTGTGGATTATGAATGTAGAACATCCACCAGAAGTCCAGAACAGAACTTAACAAGAATAGGCAGTAATAAAAATCACATAATCATTGCAGGATTGGAAGAAAGGACATGAAGATAAAGAGAGATAAAAATGAACAATTCGTATAAGGAACACATGGAAATGCCTGGATGAATTCTGAATGGTGAAGTTAAGGGACCCCACTGCTAAGAGGTGAAAATGCCGTTTTTCAGAAGAAAAAAGTTTAAGAATGCAATGTGAGAGCCCAATTAGGTGCACAGTAGAGCATTTAAATTTGTTTGATACAGCGCTTTAATGTGGTTTTAAGCAAACCGGGGACCATAATCCAAAACTAAACTAATAAAGAGTCATAGATCACAGGTATTGCAGCAGACTGCAGGCATACAGCCCATCTCTGTTGGGCATGAGGAAACATCAAATCTCTGAGCACACAGTAATGACGAACTGGATGTCATGATGTTAAAGTGTTCTAAAGAAAGTTCAGAGTACGAAAAGAAAGCATGTGCGGTTACAGGCATAACTTAACTTTCCAATCCAACACTGAAAAGTTGGTAACAAATTAATTCAATTTGGTGCATGTAATTTCAGATAAATTGAGAGGTGTTTGGCGACATGGATATCAGAACTGTGGTGGAGCTTGAACAAAGCAACAGGGGGGCAACCTAAGTGATTGAGCTCTAAATTTCAATAAGCAACCTCTGGATCAGAGAAATATAGGCCTGCAAGCCCATTAGCAGGGGCAGCAGGGGTGACCGCACAGGACCCAATTTAGGGGTCACCGAATGTTGATTAATTAAACACTAAGTGTGCTTAATTAGTGGCGTGATTAGCACCACGGCCTAGAAGTACAAGGCTAGCTAGAACTAAAAGCAAAAGGCTCGGCAGCCAATACGTATTAAAGGTTCATCCTTATTTTATTATCTTGCTATAAATCTAGAATTCATATATTGTTCCAAATTTTCAATCATTAGTTACTTGGTTTTGTTTAAATCATTGTTACATAATTCATGTATATGTTCTTGCTATTTATTGAGGACAGAGGTTTGTATAATAAATTAATAACACAATAAAAATATGCTTTGGTTATATGAATTTTCCAATTTTAGGGCCCACATTTTGCATTTCGTGCCAGGGCCCCAAATTCCTGAAGATGGCATGTATATTCATATGTATCTTCAATGCCGCAAAGCTAGCAGGAAAGAGCCAATTTTTGTGCTCGCATTATGTATTCAAGGAAATTATCTTAAAACATATATTATACTGTAGTTTTGTGAAACAAAATGTAGGGAACCTGCAAGGTATCTTTTTAATAGTAAATAAAGAAAACGAGAAGATAGGTGAATAGTGTACATTTCTCCTGTACTTCTCCGTGAATTTCTGTTTCCCAATGCTTCCACTTTCTCATCTACCAAATTTTAGCCACTGTAAGTTTATTTCCTACAAACATTATCATAGAAACACAAAGCTACATTCACAGATATACCTTGGCCCCACCAAATAATATTGTTGCAGCACAGAACACAACATGGACTAAACCAAGTACAAATATGAAAATGTGCAGCTGATGTAATGCCTCCAGTGATAGCAAGGGAACATCACCCTGAAACAGAGCAAGACTATTGCTTTCATCATGTTCATTCTTGAAAACATTTCTGCACAACACTACTTTACATTGTTTGAAATGATAGAAAACCTTATTATCTAACATGATAGAATCATTTGATATATGAAAATATGATAATACCCTAACCTTTTTCTTGCAAATTTTGGCACCTTCTTCTGCAACTCTGTGGTCGTCTCTCTTGCATGGAAGCATGAAGCCAGTAGAAGTTTCTGGAATGCAAATGCTAACAATAAAACCTTGGGAGAGACTCAGGACGAAAGAAATGAATCCGAGAAGCATTAGCTCTGCAAGCATAACCATAGAACCACATTAGACAAAAAAAAAAAAAAATTATGTGCAAAGTCACAAATTGAAGAGATTGCACCACGTCCTTCGTCATGAAAAGGTTTCCAACCACTTGCATTGTTTCCTTCAGCTATGCTGTGTTTTTTTCTTTATTATACCCTTTGTTAATGAAATCACACGCAGTTCTCCTACGTAGTTCGAGAAATCTAATCAACTAACAATATCTCCATGCTATACCGGGCAATGCTTTTATTTAGTGCTTTTCAGTTGACAAGGCACAAAGATGATCCAGTGATGGATCTATGGATATTGATAAGTTCCCAAGAATGCTACCTTCTTTTAGTCTCTGTAGAGCTGAAAACAGTGCTTTCTGCTTCTTATGCTTCAGATACTGCACAAATAAAGGTGGAAAAAAGCAGGAGGTAATCAAATAAAATACGTTGAATATTCAAATTACTGTTGAAACGTGATTGATATACTGTGTGCCTTTTTAAAATGTGCAGAGCTCAAAGTTGATCAAGCTATCTTGCCATTTCAATGGAGTTTTTTTTTTTTTAAAAAGGGCAAACCCAGTGCCAGAGGCTCCCACATGAGTGGGGTCTGGGGAAGGGAAAAACCGAGGCAAGCCTTCCCCCCGCAAATCTGCGGAGAGGCTGCTTCGAACCCACGACCTGGTGACTCAGTGAGACAACTCTCACCACTGCACCAGGCCTGCCCTTCTATAATGGAGTTTTCTTGAATAAAAAACAATATAACTTGAGTCCTTCAACCCGAAACAGCAGCCAGTTATGGGGTCATTGACATAAATTCCCATCAAATCAGGAATAATTTACTAAACAAAAAAGGAAACTGGGTGAAGCTTAGGAAGATAAACAGAATCAGATGCTAATAAAATTGCCTTGCTGAAAGGAAAAATGGCATGATGGGTGAATGGATAAATTTAAATTTCTACTTCATAATTCACCCCCACAGATACTATAGAATATGAGCCATGAGTTGTAGCCTATCATGCTAGTTATCTAGTCCCAATTCCGACATGTAGGTTGTTTCGATTTTGTACTAAGGCAAACTTCACTTTTTGATCAAGTTTATAGAAAAATATATTATCATCTACAGTACCAAATAAATGCAATATCAAGACCTATTTCATGGTGGATTTAATGAGACTAATTTGATCTTGTAGCCTTGTAGGTATCGGTGCAATTTTTCTATAAACTTGGTAAAAAATTAAAAAAAAGTTTGACTTAGGACAAAACTAAAATAACCCACAATTTGGAATGGAAGGAGTAGGTTCCAAACTCCAGTTTACCTTTAGAAAGAGGGGGAAACTTCAGGTGTAAAGCAGACGCACAGGTTAGGCAGAATCCCACATTCTCCCCAATTTCAATAACCTCTAAAGCATGTCAAAGCTAAGATGAGAGTACTAACTCAATGCAACGCCCATGGCATCATAAGTTCACCAACTTAGCTAGCTAACTGGAGGCCAGACATGGCCAGCGCGAGCTTGTGAATCGATGGCAGAAAGGAGCACGTCGCCCTGATTCCCATCAAGTGAAATCCAAAACTCTTGGTATTCTATTCTATCAGTACATTCGCCGGGTTTTCGGAACCAGATCCAGCTGTCAGCGCAGAAACGCCGCATCCGTATCGATAGACCGCGTACCTTGCCAAGGCAGTGGAGGAAGCGCTCGGCGGCGAGGGAGATGGAGAGGATGACGAGGCATACGATGGCCACCACCCAGGTGGGCGTGAACGCGAGCTTCGCCTCCTCCCCCATGGCTCCTCTTCCAACTGCGGCTGCTTCTGATACTGCCGGCGCGCCCTGACTCCCGCTCGCGGCAGCCCAACCATTGGTCAGCTAGCGAAGACAAAGCCGCGCGGTTAAAGCGGCGGGCGCACGCACGCGACTGCCGAGCGGCCGCGGCGGCAAGGAAGGAATCGGCGTGCCCGCCGCGCCTCGCTCTCGGTTGCCTCCCGCGCGCGGCCACCCGTCAGATTCCATCCCGCGTTCGCGCAGTGGGCATGGGCCGACGGGGGTAGGGGGGCAGTAGGCGGAGTTGTTTTGCTTCGGCCACCGGCCTCCTCCCCTGATGGCGCCAGGTGCCATGGCAACGGCCACCTACCCGTGCTGGCGGCGCGTGAGGCGTCAGGATTCAGGAGGTCTGGAGGAGGTGGCTTCTCGCTGCGTCGGCAGGCCCAAGCGAGATTGGAGGGCGGTCATTTGGGGCCTGTTTGATTTGTGGCCCTGCCCAGCACGGCTGTCCGGCCTGGCCCTGACCAGCTCGAGCACGGCTTCTATGGTACAACGTCGTATGTTTGATTTACTTGGTCCAGACAAGTCTGATTTCTAGCCCAAATAGCTATGGCTACTATGCACTAGAAATTCGGTAGCCTTACCACCAGACTTTCACATTTCTCTCTTCATTCACATTACATCGAGCACCTGAGAGGCGTGCCGAGTGTCGTCATTGACAGCGCATGCAGTCGGGCTTCCCCGCCACTCATTCCTTCCCCTTCTCCCCGTTCGAGCCACCTCGTGCCCTCGTTTCTCTTTCTCCGGCATCGCAGCCACATCACGACCCTGCCCAACCCCTCTGTGGCCGCGGTGAAAGCTGGCTAGGGCGTCTCTGTAGGCGCGAGCGGGGGGAGGGGGGGCGTCGACGCGTGTGCGGAGCACGGCGAGTTCCTTGACGAAGGTAGTCATGGCTCGTCTCGTCCTAGGAGGAGTTGAAGACGATGCCGTGGTTGGGTGAGGTCACCCACGCCGGCGTGGCGACCACGGCGCGGGAGCTGACCGACGGCAGAGCACCACCGGCGGCGAGCGGCTTGGCGTGGTCGTCGAGCAGGGACGCGGCGGTGGCGGCCCCTGTCCTCGTCGGAGCTCCAAGCCGCCATGGCCGCGCCGCTCGCCGTCACCACCTCGATCTCCCTCTTCACTGCCTTACAGGCGGCGACACGGTGAGTCAGACTCACAGAAAAGAAGGTGCGCTGGCCGGTGGGTGAGAGACGAAGGAGAAGGAGGTGACTCCATCTCACCCACAAGCGCCCACGCGCGCTGCAGCCAACCGGGCCGAGTAGAAACGGACCTCAGGAGCGTTTACCCGGGTGCAGGAGAGAGAGGGTGATTTGCACGCCGCGAGCTGGGCCGAAAGCTGGAGGGCGCTGGGCCACCCCAAAGCCTGTTGCAGCTGGAGGGCGCTGGGCCACCCCAAAGCCCCATATCAAATGGGCCCTTAGAGGCTTCATGGCCCAGGCGTGGTCTGCGCGTCGGGCGGATAAAGTGGGCTTGCAGGTTGGAATTTGCTCGTGAGGCCCATTGTCGTGATGTTTTTTTTCGTAAAATAGCAAACATACTCGTTCCTCTCGAAAAGAAAAAGCAAACATACTTGTACTTCTACATCCTCTCGAAAAGAAAAGGCAAACATACTTGTACTTCTACATTATAACAGTGTTCAGCTTGTTACGTGGTTACTGACTCCACCTCTACCAGGCGCAGGGCTTATCATCTTCCTCTTTGTCCTTGAAGGTGTCGTAGATATCCGATATGTTGTTGATGGTGATCCCCTCCGGCTCGGGCAGCCGTTGCAGTTTCTGTTTAGGGATGCAAGTTCTAATTATTTTTGGTCATTGGGTCAACCCAAAAACTTGTTCAAATAAACCAGAATTTTATTACACATAATTTGAGCTGGGAGAGAAGTGAACTAAAATGACATTTGACTGTAATTAGTTAGCGAAAAAAAGGTATCTATACTTGCATCATTATTGTTGCTCTCTCCGATGGGAAGGTTGAACCGTCAACTTTGTACCGCCTCTTGTTAACATTGAAGTTGGTTACGATGAAGCCTCCCCTCATCCTTGCCCTCGTGATACCGGTGACACGAAGCGCGCCTCCTTGGCCTTCTGCTCCTTTTCCTATGCTCAAGCTTCCTTAGCTCCACAAGAGAAGTTCCATAAATGATGCTAAGAGAAGGCAAAGGTGGGAAATAGAGCTGAAAAATGTGGTCCACCCTGCTTCGTCTTCAAACTTGAGGGCCCAGGGAGAATTTTCCCCCACCGTTGGCGGAGGGAGAGGCGCCCGAGCCGGCGTTGGCGAAGGTAGATTCTAGGCGCGGTGGCAATGACGACCCTCTCCCTGACGATTTCCTCCACCTCGCTGACGTGGACAACAGCTTCCAGGAGGCTGCAGTGGTCTTGAAGCAGGACATGGTCAAGGCCCTAGCTACCATCCGTCGTTGTGATGGTGCGCGCCTAGCCTCTGAACTTAGGTCGCAGCGCAAGGTCGGCAAGGACCTTGCCCACCTCGTAGACAACGCTAGCATGGACATCGTAACCACCGATAGGCCCTCACACCTCGGCCTTGGCGGAGCTAGCGGTGCGGCGATGGTCAAGGTGGTCGGACTGATGGCTTCATCAGCACGTGGGATGGACACAAGCTGACGCAGCCCTTCTATTGGGGGTGATGTTTGTCATGCAGTGGAGGAGCGTGAGGATAAGGTGGAGAGAGAAGAGAGAGAAATAATAGAGGAAGAAAATAAAGGTAGAAAAGAAAAAAAAGGTATTTTTGACATTTCATTCTTTTCATGACTATGAAAAGTTATTGTACCAAATATTTTTCTAACTAGAGAAGTTAAGAGTCAGAAAGAGCTATTTCACCAGAAAAACAATAGTTAGAGTTGTTTTGACTAAAGTTAGAGCCCTATGAAACACGCCCTAAGCCTAAGCAAACCCACTATGACCCACTTAGGAATATAAGTCAACCCACTATGACCCATTGTACCACATAGGAATGTTTCTGCTAGCTTGTTTTATATGTAATTCTCATGTTTTGTATTCCTATTCCAAACTATATTGAAGTAAAATTGATCTAGAATATAGCTATGCTTTACTATCCAAGTTATGAATGGACAAAATTAAGTAATGCTTATGTCTATTGAAACGATTATAACATATTTCTATGCATCTAGCTAAATATATAATCTAGAAGAGCTAGCTCTAAGAATATTATTTTTGGCATACGCTCAAATCCTAACTCAGTCCCTATATATATTTCTCGGCCTTAGAGACACACATGAGAACAAAACATATATACTCCCTTTATTCTAAAAAGAATGCATATCGTGTTTTTCAATGAATCAAATTTTGTATGTCTGATTAGATTTATAGAAAATAGTATTAATACTCTTCAAATATGTTTATTATGAAAACATATTTCACTACTAACACAATGCTACTTTTTACACATAATAAATATTAATATTTTTATATACTCCCTCTGTTCCAAATTATAAAATGTTTTGACTTTTCTAGATACAAGCGTCCGCTATGTACTTAGATATACATTATGTTTGGATACATAGTAAAAGCAATTGTTGATGCTGAATAGGGATCTAGATCACACACTAGCAAGGGCAAGCACGTCCACGGTTGCAAACAAACTTGACCATAGCAAGAATGCAGTAGAACGGCGAAACCAACCAAGAGGTCGATTGGGCCGATGTAGAGTCCGTTCTTCGCCTGATAGACTCCAGAACACCTCTCTAGAAGACTCGTTGGGGAGGTGCACGTAGAGGTTGCTCTAGGATCGGCAAGGCCACCTAGAATGCCGCCAAATCCCGCCAGGAGACGTGACGAACAGCAAGGTATAGAGAGAGGAGAGGGTAAAAGGTGTAGTAGATTTATTTTTTGACAACTGGAAGTTGCGATCCTCAATCGGCCATGATCCTCTCTTATATATAGAGAGGGGTGGTCTTATCCCAGTAGAAAAAAAAGTACAAAACACATTCTGCAAGTTTCCCACTTCAAAATAGATCCAAAAACCGATTTAAAAACAAATCGGTTTGGAATCAACAGAAAAGTTGGTCTAGCCGACTAGGCCGGGTTTCATGGGGCCAGGCACTGTGGTCGGCCCGGCAACAGGCAAGCTGGCCTGGCTAGCTTTGGGCACCCGGCTTGGCTGGCTTTGGTGGCTGGCCTGGCAGGCTTTAGGCAGGGCAGCCTTCTTCTTCTCCCTTTTGCTCTGTGCTTTGGATTGGGTTGCACCAAATATTTCCAGCACACCCTCTAGATCAGGAACTTGATGGTGCAACCCAATTTCCATGCTGGGATATTTTTGCGTGTCAACATATGTCCTCTGTTTTTAGGTGAATATTATATAAACATAAAAACATAAAAGTACTAAATAGCAACGATGCTCAACCCATCGGCTATCTATACATCAGCCATATTTGTTCTAAGGGCGATACATGTATCGGCCATTGTTTGGAGAGCACTCTAAGCTTCTTACCAAACACTTGGGAAATATTTTTTTCAAATATCTCCCATTGATTATTGCTCTTGGGAGACTATCGCCTTGCAACATCTCTAGCAGATATGAATCCCAAATATCACTTTGATCACTCTATAAGGACCTTCCTAACTTCCATTGGTGACTATTGATGGGAATTTTGTCATGGTTTTACATAGTCAAAAACCGTCAACAAAGTATCACCATTGAAAGGAGATAAGCCAACCATGAATGATTTTGGTTCAAATAACTTGGTTCCACACGTATATGACCTCGGTTTGAATGTAGGTACAAATTGAAAGAAAAACCAAGTCTGGGGGGCCACCTTGGATGGTTGGCTGACCACCCAAGTATGTCCAATTGATCATCCCAATATATCAACATAATGTACTATGCTTCTAGAACCTGCGTGTAAATGATGGGCCTGATTGACCAAAATTGGCCGTTCGGCCAACCTATGAATTTTGGCTAAATTTAGCTCAAATTTGGTGTGG